AGTTTCAGCAGCAGCTGACTTGGGGACGCCTGGGGTTCTTAAGTTGATTCTGTATGTAAGTCAGAACTGGTGGTCAGTTTCAGCAGCCGCTGAGTCTGGACGCCAGTTCCGACTTACATACAGATTCAACTTAAGAACAAACCTACAGTCCCTATCTTGTATGTAACCCGGGGACTGCCTGTAAATAAAAAGTGGGCAACATTATCTCCACAAACAAGGACTGAGGGGACTTACAGGCGCTAAAATTTGACATTGTTTTGTTTTTGGGTGCAGTTATGTACAAAAATTCTACATTTATAAGTTACACGTTCATGATAAAAAGATTGCATGACAGGACTTACAAGAGGTGAACTAAAATACTATTAGGTTATCTTTTTTTACAGTGCAAATATCTGTAATAAAAATAATATAAACTGAACACTGTAAAGTGCATTCTGTGTTGTGAGCTAGTGTAGCCGTACCCTAAGATATTGTTTGTGACACAGAAAAAAATAAGTTTTTTTTAAAACATCTAAAATATTTAGATGCAGAGTTGCCAGGATGGACCATTGTGAGCCGGAACTGCTCAGTCTCAGCTTGCACTGAGTCCAGCAGCCCCGGAGTAGCTTCTGTGTGCAGCATTGTGCTAATGTATGAGAATCTGAACTTAATACTATTTGAAAATGTAGAAAAACATCTAAAATATTTAGATGCAGAGCTGCCACGATGGACCATTGTGAGCCGGAACTGCTCAGTCTCAGCTTGCACTGAGTCCAGCAGCCCCGGAGTAGCTTCTGTGTGCAGCATTGTGCTAATGTATGAGAATCTGAACTCTTGCCCTCATTACCCTACCTAGCTCGAAATAATGAGCTAGTGTAGCCGTACCCTAAGATATTGTTTGTGAGACAGAAAAAAAATAAGTTTTTTGTAAAAAAAGTGAATTTTAATTTGCTAGTATCCATAGAAAAAAGACAAAGTGACTAATTTCTATCTGAAACAAAAGGCAATTGCCAAATGAAAATTGAAGCAAATGGTAAAGATGCAAAGTTCCATTTTCAAGATTCAATATATACAATGAAAAGAAAGGAAAACATAAAATACTAAAAAAAATTACTAATACTCTTTTAAATCAATGCATAATTCCAAGAATTTTCCACAGAATTGCATACAGAAGTACAGGTTGAACCTCTCTATTCCTGAACTTTCTGATCCGGCAATTATTTGCAACTCTGCTTGCCCTCATTACCCTACCTAGCTCGAAATAATGAGCTAGTGTAGCCGTACCCTAAGATATTGTTTGTGAGACAGAAAAAAAATAAGTTTTTTGTAAAAAAAGTGAATTTTAATTTGCTAGTATCCATAGAAAAAAGACAAAGTGACTAAGTTCTATCTGAAACAAAAGGCAATTGCCAAATGAAAATTGAAGCAAATGGTAAAGATGCAAAGTTCCATTTTCAAGATTCAATATATGCAATGAAAAGAAAGGAAAACATAAAATACTAAAAAAAATTACAAACACTCTTTTAAATCAATGCATAATTCCAAGAATTTTCCACAGAATTGCATACAGAAGTACAGGTTGAACCTCTCTAGTCCAGAACTTTCTGGTCCGGCAACATCCGTGGTCTGGAATGATTTTAGTTAGCTGGATGTCTACTTTTCATGCGTGTGGCCATTTCCTGTGGTCCCATAAAGTTTGTTTACAGCCACTAGTCCTGTCTTTCAGTGTTCTGTGCTGTTCTTTAGCTCTAATTTACCCTTAAATGTTCTCTAACAGCCCAGTAAGCATGGAAGTGTTGGTAATGCTGCTAGACAATATTGACCTCCCATGGTCTGGAAAATTCTCTGGTTCAGAACCAGTCAGGTCCCGAGAGTGCCAGAGTAGAGAGGTTCAACCTATACATTAAAATGTAAGCAATTTTAAAAGGTCTAACCCACATGTATAAAGCCTATAAACTGCACAGACTAACTTGAAAATCTGATATCCTGGCATCAAACTAACATTATTCAGCCAGAAAACAAAAACATAGATAGAATATAATAGCTTTTTTAAAACAGCTAAAATTTAGGAAATTAATAGGAAGATTATTTTATTACCAGAAAGTCTACTTTTCATGCGTGTGGCCATTTCATGCGTGTGGCCATCTGATATCACTAATAATAATCATATTGTACATTTATCCACCAGAGTCACTAAGACTTTCATTATCATATGCGCCTATTACCACTTCATTCATCTTTAAGATGTAAACACTTTTGGGGCAGTAAGTAGCAGATATCCTGCACTGAGAAGTCCTCCACTCAGCAGGACCAAGAAGGGAAAGGGAAGGTTCATTTTTCTAATTTAAGTAGACAAAAAAAAGCAACTTGTTGAACTGGAATTTGGTCCTAATATCAGGATCAAATATCTCTTGTAAAACATGGCACAAAATGTTTACCAATCACACAAGTTATCAGAAGCTTGGTTTTATGTCTTATGTGAAAGGCAGGGCCTCCAACAAAACATGTGCAATTTAGTTCAAGCTTAGAAAGAAGAGTAAAAACTGCTACATAGCCAATACTATCTGGATTTTCTTTGGTAATTTCCAATCCAAATGCTGACCAAGTCCCACAGTACTTCACTTATGAGCTCTTACAAAATCACTACCAAGGATGGCTTGCCTACAGGTTGTAGAGAAATATTTATATTACTTGTTAAAGGCTTTGGGTATATTACCTAATTGTACAGGAATTTCCTTTCTTTCATATTAGCAGGATAAATGTCTTAGGGCCAGATTGTGGCTACTGAATCACTGTCCATACCAGGGAGGGTTTATGGAGAGAATTACCAGGAAAGAATTCAGGAGAATGCACAATACAATAATTGTAACTAGTGCAGGATAGGTTCTTCTCCATGCCTTGCTAGCTACACTGCTCGGTGTTGACTGGGAGCAGGGCAAAGGCCCTACCATCACTCTGCCCTCTTTCATTTGGCTATTAGTAGTACTATACAACAGGAAGCACCTACTAGCTGCCCCCTGGTGGTGTAAGTAGAGGTGTATTCCTTTCAGAACCAGGCACAAGTGAGCTCTAAGTATACTTGTTTAGATATTAACATTTCCTTCCTACCTCCCTCCATTTCGTCTCATTTACTTCTTTGTACTGCAGTTCATACTCCAGTGTAATCCATCCCTTCTGTACATCTGCTGATGGCGGTGGGTCCCATCTCACTTGGATGTCTGCATGGATCCTGGTCAGGCTGGTGTTCAGTAGGGTCCAGTTGAGACCAACAGGTGGATCAGGTTGCACTGTTCATTTAACAGAGTATTGGAAATAGAACAGTTTTCAGTCTGAAATCACTATTTTTGCTAAACACTGTTCACAAATGAAGAAATATTTGAACCTCACATGCAGTAATTACAGTCTCAACCTACAAATTAGTATCAGCATGATTGAAGATTTGATAACCTGTTACATTTTCATCTGAGCTAGACATTTGGTGCCTAAATCTCAGAGGGTCCATCCCACAATCCTGATGCAGGCAAAACTCCTGCTGACTTTGAAAGTAAAATCCTGGCCTCATCAATGTCAATGGCAAAACATTCACCCTAAAATTCCATAGAGGTTTAGGGAAATCATATATGTCTGATGTTCAGAATTTTTAAACTCCAGGCACAAAACTTTCCCTGAATTCCTAATAATATTTTGCTCATAATATTTAATGGATTTATACTATATTTTAAAGCTAACCTCTGCTGATCTGTGCATTTAAAAGAAAATAAAAAATAGAAACAACCTCCCCCATTCCGAACTAAGTAAAAGCCACAGGATTTTTCCTTATGTTGGAACTATAGGATGATAAAACAATTTTACAGTTCAAATCTAGTTTTCATAACCTCAACTCTAATTCCTAACAGAACTGCGGGACTGTTATTTTTTTGACCTGCACAAAGAACAAAAGAGGCACATCTTGTTTAGTTACAAAACAGATGATAGCTGTCCATTAATTCAGGATCCAATAGATTCCTCCCCTCCCTACTTTCTCTGAGGCCTCTTCCCAAGTAAAGCTTCAGGTAAAATGTTCTTTTCTATAGAGTTCAGTCCGTAAGAACACAGGTGTGTTCATTCATACTAATATCAAACGTTGTACAGCACTAAAAATGTCCTTTCTAGCAACATGTTAACTTGCAATGAACATAACCTTCAACTAGAAAATGTTACACTCTCTAAGGGTACATCTACACAGCAGGGCTTAACTCAAAATAAGCTATGCAAATTAAGCTATGTCACTTACGTAGCTTATTTCAAAATAGCTTATTTCAAAATTGGGAGTGTCTACACAGCACTTATTTCAAAATAGAGCACTCTTCCTCAGACTTCCTTACTTCTCATACAATGAGGGTTACAGGAGTCGGAGTAAGAAGTATTTAGACATTATTTCAAAGTAATTGCCTGCTGTGTAGGCAGGGACCAAGCTATTTCGAAATAATGTTGCTGTGTAGACACACCCTAAGGGTGAACAACCAGCTCTTTCTCTATGCTACCCTATTCCTAGGCTGCTCTTGAGAAGTGTCTGTACTTAAATAACATACAAGATTTATAGGGTACTTTAACTTCCTGCTCAGGACAAGTCTAAAGTCTTTGGATGGAAAGAAGTGGAGTGCCAAAGGTGACAGATTACATGGCAATTGCCTTTTCAACTAGGCAAACTGCCCAAAACTTGAAAGTAGCTAATAAATTTTAGTGGTTGGCACAGTACAACTCTATGCATGGAGACTTGGTTAATAGAGAACAGTTGACCCTGTAATGATTTAGGATTCTCTAGTTCTGATTCAGAAGCCAAAATCTGTCAGCTTCTGCTGCAGACCTCAGTCAGGCTTTTCCTCTAATTGTCCCCCCTCATGCAGAGTGACAGCATCAACATGACTCATTTTAATATGCCTGAGGGACAGTGACATTCACCCAAGAAGAGGGAATCTCATGGATTAGCATCTTAATGAGAAGCCACACATCTGCCTCTCTCATGTCTGCATCCTTCCAGCAAAGGCAAAAAATATTTCCTGATACAGCTTGCAACCTTTTGTATTTATGTATTTACTTTCACATATTGAAGACACTCCATGAATGCTAAAAACTGACTGGTGAGTAAAACTAGTCCCATTTTTGTAGGCTGTACTTTCAAGCTTTATACCATGTATCTATTTCTTCACCACAGTATGAATTTAAATAAATAAAACTCCCAAACTGATGAAAAAATCTCGGTAACCAAACCAGTGTATTTGATTAAATGTATTCTATTATAAAAATCAAACAGTTTAAAATATTGGAAATGTACCTATTTCATCAACACTGAAGCATTTTTCATCTAATACGTCATCTTTATTGATAAGCTTAACACAATAAGTTATCCAAATAGAGGTGTATGATGTGTTGAAATAACAGCTGTTTTCTCCGGCAGTTATATAATCGGGACATTCTTTCCATTCTTCATCATTTCTAGAATGACAAAATACACATTATAATGTGGCTAGTGGTAAGTCACAGTGGAAGAAGCCATGTATACATTATCATATGGCCCTTTTTATGGACTTTGGTGAAATTCCTGAACAGGCTGTTAGATAACATTGTTATGCTGGAAGGTATTAAGAACTGCCATCAACTGCTAGCCTGGGTAAAGTTTGTGTGTGCACTATGCAACCTTCAATCAGGCTAGTTTGAGGGAGCAATTAAATGCTCCATTGTGTAGTAAAAGATGAAACAGTAGAAGCCACTGCCCAAACAATGGCCAGCTTCTATTTTTAACTGAAACAATCTAGCAGACTCCAAATATTGGCTAACCAGTCACACAAAGGGCAATAATATTTCTAAAGCTTCAGTTTTATATGGTAGGTCTGAACTAAGGGTTTTAAGGACTAGTCAATCAATTAGTCTCTTTCCCCCCTCCCCCTTGCTGCATCTATCAGGACTCCCCAGCTGACCCCAGGTTCTGGGGAAATACTGCACAGAACCTGGGTCAGCTGTGCGGCGGCTGCTCCTTTGAAACACCAAAGCAGTAGTCAACCCTGCACTCCAGCCCCTTAAGCAATACTTAGCTCCACCAGGAAATCCATGATGGATAGTACTTATTGTCCATGCAGACTGGCGGTTGGTGAGCTAAGGAGTGAATTAGCCCACCAACTGAGTATAACCAGTTAGATGTGCAGCACAGGGCCTGTGATGGAGATTTGGTAATGGTGATCTTAATAAAACTCTGAGGTCTCAATCGGCTAGAGGTGTCCAAGATTGTTTGTGAGAGACCCCAGCATGGGAAAGAGCCTGCACTGTCACTAGTTCCATAGACTAAATGACAAATTTAAATCAGTATATAACTGTTCAAACATGGAGGCTCCAGATTCTTCCATCTGCCTGCTGAGAGAGGTGTGGGTATGTCTACACTACAGGACAAAGTCAAGTTAAGATACTCAATTTCAGCTACGTTAATTGTGTAGCTGAAGTCGAAGTAGCTTAACCTAGCTTTTGGTGCTGTCTACACTGCAAAGAGTTGAAGAAAGAACCCTCTTCCTTCGACTTCCCTTACTCCTCATGAAAGCAAGGCTACCAGCATTGACTGGAGTGCCCCTCTCACTTCGAATTAGCTGTCTTAACTAGACAGCTAATTCGAACTTGGAAGATTGACAGTGGCAGCTTCAATCTTCCTCTGCAGTGTAGATGTAACAGGAGTCACAGGCGTGCTGAATGCTTCCTTGACTTTTCCTGACTTCAGTGATCTAATTGAAAATGACTAGGACTGTGGTCACCAACCCGTCGATCATGATCGACTGGTCAATACTGGGGGCCTGACCAGTCAATCACAAGGCTTTTGGGAGGCCCCCGCTTGCTGCCCCCCCCACCAAGATGAACGCCACGCTGATGCTACCTCCATGAACAACGGAGGTAACAGGGGCTTCCAGCGGGGTGAGGGGGAGTTCTGTAGCTGTGCGCCTGGTACTGGAAGTGCACGGGCTTCTCTTCTTCCCCCCCGAACAGCCGATGCGGTACCTAAAATGCCGGTCTGTCGTGCACTGGGGACTTTGTTCCCCTGCTGCCTTCCTGCACGCAGGGAAGAGTGTGGGGGTCCGGGACTGCACCGGCTCCGGCTTTTCAGGCAGCACGTGCTGCTGTGGGGAGGGAAGGAGCAAGGCGTGTGCGCCCGAGTGGTTGGGGTTGGGGTGGTCCGGGACTCCCCCTTCCCACACCCCCCCCACAGGAGGGCAGCAGGGGAATAAAGTCCCCAGCACGCCGGTTCCAGCTGCTCCTGGATGGGGCTGGCACAGTCTGGGACTCCCCCTCCCTCCATTCCCATCCCGCGCAGGAAAGCATCAGGCGCGTGACGTACCAGTGTTTCACATACTGTGCCGTTGTTTGGGGGACAGGGGAGCAGCCCACTTCCTGGGCCTTGGTCTGCAGCTGCAGGATCTCCAGGTACCGGTCCCTGTCCGCTCCCCCGACCCATATCCCCACAAGGCTGGCACAGTCTGGGACTCCCCCTCCCTCCATTCCCATCCCGCGCAGGAAAGCATCAGGCGCGTGACGTACCAGTGTTTCACATACTGTGCCGTTGTTTGGGGGACAGGGGAGCAGCCCACTTCCTGGGCCTTGGTCTGCAGCTGCAGGATCTCCAGGTACCGGTCCCTGTCCGCTCCCCCGACCCATATCCCCACAAGTACCCTGCCCCAGCACCCACCAGCACCCTGTCCCTTGCCCCAGCACCCTGTCCCTTGCCCCAGCACCCATTGGCACCCCCTGCCCCTTCCCCCACCACCCTGTCCCTTGCCCCAGCCCCCATTGGCACCCTGTCCCCTGTCCCGGAACCCACTGGCACCCTGCCCCAACACCCTGTCTCCTGCCCCAGACATTGCCCTGGCACCCACTGGCACCCTGTCTCCTGCCCCAAGCCCCTGCCCCAGCACCCACAAGCACCCTGTCCCCTACCACAGCATCCTGTCCCCTGCCACAGCATCCTGTCCCCTGCCCCCACCAGCACAATTGGGGCCACATTAGTGAGGCTTGATGGGTTTGGAGGGGTTGTGTTTTTGTATCTCACTTGTGTGGCCCCGACTGACTTTTCTATGGGTCAGTGACTCCTGACTCAAAACAGGTTCCCTGCCCCTCTCATAAATAAAGACAATGCTGAAACCTTTTGTGTTTGACATATTTTATTTAAAAATGAAGCCTAGCCAACAAGCCCCCAATTGGGGCCAAGCCCTTATCTGGCCACAGCATCATAACATTCCTGTATCCTGCACCCTGACTCCAAATCAGGAGCCTATCATGTACTGGAATCCCCTGACCTGAGCCTCTCACATCCCCAAACTCTTGCACCCCCTCAGTCTTCTGCCACAACACTCTTGCACCATTCACACAATGCAAATTTGTGTCCTGAGCCCATCATAGTCCCAACCTCCGTGCCCTGAGCCACTCACACATCCCAACCCAAACTCCTGCACCCTCACATCCACAAGCCTGTGGCTTGCTCAGCACCCCAACCCTCCACCTGAGCACAACCCTCCCTGGAGCCCGCTCCCTGAGCCAGCATCCCCTTCTCCACATCCTGCAGCATCCAACCATTCACACAATGCAAATTTGTGTCCTGAGCCCATCATAGTCCCAACCTCCGTGCCCTGAGCCACTCTCACCCTTTCCCACACCTAAATCCCTCATTTCCACCACAGAGCCCGCAACTCCTGTCTCAACCCAGTGAGGCTAGACTGCGGGAGTTTTTCCGACAAATATGCTCTTTTGGCAGACTGCAGGAGTTTTTCTGGCAAACATGCTCTTTTGGCAGCCCCTGTATTCCTCGTTCCACAAGGAATGAGGGCACTTTCAAAAGAAGGGGGTTTTCTGACATTTGGCCCAGTCTAGATGGGCTAAATGTCGGAAAAATTTCTTCCAACAGAAGGATCGAAAAAAAGTGGCAGTGTAGCCGTACCTTGAGAGTGTATAAGGGCCGGGGATAGCAAGTGATGGAGAGAAGGGGAACGGAGAGGGCGGGGCCTTAAGAAAGGGGTGGGGTTTTGGGGAAGGGATGGGGTAGATCTTGGCTTGTCCTGATATTTAAAAAGTGATCTTGGGTGTAAAAAGGTTGGAGACCACAGGACTAGGACATAAGGCTGCCATGACTATGCTCAGGCTGCCCAGGGAAAGCTCCAGCAGCAGTGGCTTCTATCTGAGCTAGTGCAGAGCCATACTGCAATGCACCTCAGCAGACAATGCTGAGGAGAACTCCAACACCAGGGCCTCAGCGGGCCAGATCAGGCACACCAAGCAAGTGGATCTGGCCCGCGGAGGCCCTGCTACTCCCATGCCCCCAGGCCAATTAAGGCCTGGGAACGGGGGAGCACCCAAAGCCTTCCCCGCTCTGCCCCAGCACTACTCGCAGTGCGCAGCACTTCAAAGCACTGTGTGCTGCTTGCAGGGCTGGGGCAGAGCGGAGAAGGCTTTGTGCACTCCCCCGCCCTCAGGCCAATCAGGGTCTGGGGGCAGGGAAGCTGCGTGAAGCTTCCTTCGGCCTGCCCCTGCCCTGTGAGGAGCCCATGGCACTTCAAAGTGCCATACACTCCTCACAGAGTGGAAGGAGGCTTTGTACACTCTCCTGCCTTCCAGGCTTTGATTGGCCTGGGGATGGGGGAGCGTGCCAAGCCTCTTCCAGGGCATGGGTGCCTAGTGGGAAGAGGGGCAAAGGGGTTCCCCCATGCCCAGACCAATCTTGGTCTGAGGTGGAGTAGCCCCACTCCTTCTCGTTTAGGCCCCACCCTTTTTGAAGTGGCCCCCGGGCAAAAATGATTGCCCACCCCTGTCCTTCACAGATTATTTCGTATCCAACACTTTAGCTATATAATAATGCAGGCCAGGTTGGGTGAACTCAGCAGTGCCTTCTAAACTATGAACATACAATAAGTGGCATTAATTTGCAAATATATATATAACATTTGCAGATGTATATAAGAACATATCCTAATGACCTCTTTTACCATTCAGTTCATTTTAAGAGGGTTCTGCTAAAGTTGGAACCAGAATTTTAAATGGGCCTGAAACTTTAGTTTCATAGCTGGCTGTTAGGAACAAATCAAAGCTCCCTATCCTAACCCACTTCCCCAGACTGTAAGATGTTCAAAGTCCAGATTCTGCTGCTTGGGCCTATTTATACTAAGTATGTGCCTGGCACCCCTGAGAACGCTCTACCCCCTTCAGAACATCACCCCAAAGACCCCTCTCCAGAGTAGCAGCTGCACACCAGAGACACCCAGAACATCCAAGATTTAGTAGGGGTCTGTAGTATAAATCATGGTCAGGTCACGTGAATTTTTATTTATTGCCTGTGACCTTTCCATGATCCTTACTAAAATTACCCATCACTAAATCTTACCCTTCCTTATGTGAGTTGGAGGGTCAGTAAGTTTGACCATCCCTAACTTAAACTGTGTCTTCTTGGCTTTTTTCCATGACATGAAATGAGTTAACACTGCATTTTAATGAGCAATACAGTGGCGGTTAGGTAGTTACACTTCATATTCTCTTTACCTTCTCATGTACAACAGTTGTATTGTTCCCGGAGCAGTGAGGTTGTGAAAATCTTTATCAGTCCAGTGACATGAAAATGTTTCCTGTTCAGGTGATCTGCATTTGATAGTGTGTGGCCGTCCCAAAATAACTGTAATGAAAAATGGGAAGGGAAAAGAAAGAAACAAAACATATAAAACCAGACAAATATGGTGCTGTAATACTGGGAGGCTCCAGTTCTATCATCACCATCTTTAGATAAAAACCACCCAGCATATTCTTATTATTGTTACTAACAGACATTCCCCCACTCAACTATTTGTATACACAGGGAGGTACACATTGGAATGTGACCAGAATACAGACTCCTGATCAAAACACTCCTTATATTGTGAGACAGTTCCCCATCCAAATACAAATTCATAGAAACCTTTTACAAGTGATGCAGATATTGATAAGTGGTCAAATCAAAAGCTCTGATCTAACACTGTCAAACTACAGTGTGCCTGAAATAAGATCCAGGGTGAAATTCCATCCCATTGAAGTCAATGGGACTTTTGGCACTGACTTGTATGAGTTCTGGATCTTACCGCTACACTTTTCCATTTTTCCTCCAGTTTTAATAAGTGCTACTTAAAATAATAAATGCAATGTGGAAATCATAGTGTTGACATATAAAATCAATTTAATAGAGACGGGGCAGTTTTGAGCATATACCTATTTTGCCACCTAACACTTCAATGTTTACAAGTCTTGTTCTCCATCATTACAGAAATATCACAGATCCATAAAATTAATGGTGCAACTTCAAGTCAACATCTGAAAAGTTACCATCACTAGGGAAAAACTGGGACAGGAGTGGGAGGGGAATAGGTGCCTATAGAGAACACCAAAGAGATGAAGTAGAAAATGTAAAATTTGAATATCTGCATATGTTCAGAACATCTCAAATTACTTATAAATAAAGAGCAAGGAGTAGGACTACCTGATAAACAACATGAAACACCTAAATCTGACCACCATACGTATATTTAATTTACACAGATTATTTTACCACATATATAAACATTTCCCCCTTGGAGCCCTGAATGTTCATGCCCTATAGTATTAGGTGCTCCTTAAATAAAAACAACACTTAGAAACAATGAGGCACAACTGTGAGCTTTAATGATTACATACACACATCATGGGTATCTACATGGCACCACTCTCAACTTTCAAAACATATTCATAATTTTGGGCGCCCAATTTGAGGGCATAGCTTTCTCAAAGTGCTGTGCACATCCACTCTGAAAGTCAGTCCTTTTAAAGAGATTCTTAGGCTGGGCACCAATAAAAATGAAGCACTTCATAAAATCTTGGAACGAAAGACTTGTACTAGTGTTTACTAGACTCAGGCCACATCTCCACTTACTGGAGGATTGATGCTCTGGCCATCGATCTTCCAGGGTTCGATTCACTGAGTGTTGTAAGGACCCACTAAATCAAATGCTGAGGGTACCCTGTCAGTGCTGGTATTCCTTGCTGTCATGAGGAGTAAAGGAAGCCTACGTGATCATTTCTCCTGTTGACCTCCTGCTGTGGGGCCGCTCCAGAAAGTCAATGCGAGGAATGTTGACTCCAGCTATACAATTCATGTAGCTGGAGTTGCATATCTTGCATGAATTTTCTCCACTAGTGTAGACTTGGCCTCCGTATAAAACACAGAAAATTCTCTTTGGAGGTGGTCACTTTAGCTGTTTCAAAGACATGGTCAGGAATTGGCATGTTCTAGCCTCATCATATTATATCATCATGACCAGCAGATAGTTTACATGAAGCATGAATTATTTTCAGTGTATTTAATTTGTTACCATTAAAAGACAATCATGATGCACACCAACAACTTAAAACATGTATTATAATCATTTTGTAAACATTTTGTATAAAAATACTTTCAAAGAATGTTAAGCTTGCATAGTGATACTCTCAAAAAGTTGGAAACTACAAAGTTAAGGCCCCCTCATGTAAACTATACCTGCCCTTAATGTATTAAACTATTTTTTCCCTGCAGGTCCCTTCCTTCATTTAGCGTTCAGGATACTCACTGAATGAGGTAGCTATTAATATTTGTAATGTAATGGTTCAATGTATAGCCTCATGTTTCAAATACTGGCCACTATCCAAATCCTGTAGTAACCCGGGAACTGGTGATATGGATGTGAGCTTCATTCACTACAAAACCCTGCCTCATGTACTAGCCATTCAAGCAAGATTAAATATTTTCAGGGAATAGTAAATTTGCTGAAAAACACATTCTCAAGGCACTGAACTTATTCATGAATTTAGGTTGAATTCTTTGAAGAAAAATCAATGTTGCAAGTGTCAGAACAGTTTTGAAAATGTTGGTTAGAATCCTTATAACCTGAGCAAATAATTTTGTTTATTTGGACTAGCTGAGAAAAACAAAGAAACAAAAAAACCCATTCTATTTTGCTTCTAACATCATAGCTGTATTTTTTTTTTATTTTTGGTTCAGCCAGTAGACCAGAAAAATAACTAGAAAATACTCAATGTTGCAAGTGTCAGAACAGTTTTGAAAATGTTGGTTAGAATCCTTATAACCTGAGCAAATAATTTTGTTTATTTGGACTAGCTGAGAAAAACAAAGAAACAAAAAAACCCATTCTATTTTGCTTCTAACATCATAGCTGTATTTTTTTTTTATTTTTGGTTCAGCCAGTAGACCAGAAAAATAACTAGAAAATACAGTAATA